TGCACCAGGTGCATGTCGCTGGGTTTTAAACACCAGAGGCTCAGCCCTCAAAACTCACGTCTACATGTCACCACAGTAGGACAAACCGACAGATAAGTTTGTCTTGCTGTTGGAGACCTCTCGGATCACCCACACCTGGTCCCTGTGGCTGACTGTTCCTCTGTCTGGCTTCCTGGCTTTTAATCCCCTTTCTCCTGCTCTCCTGGCCTGCTGCTTTGGGCGTCCCTGAGTTGTCCCTGGGGCTGACTGCTCCTCTGTCTGTGTTCCTGGCTTTTATCACCTTTCTCCTGCTCTTCCGGCCTGCTACTCTGGGCAGGCCTGAGTTTCCACTCCTCACCTAATCCCTTTGGCTGATTGCTCTTCTCTCTGGCTTCCTGGCTTTTAATCCTCTTTCCCCTGCTCTTCCTGCCTGCTGTTTTGGGCTTCCCTGAGTTGTCTCTCCTCACCTGTATCCCTGGGGCTGACTGTTCTTCTGTCCGGGTTCCTGGCTTTTATCCCCTTTCTCCTGCTCTTCCGGCCTGCTGCTTTGGGCATCCCTGAGTTGTCTCTCCTCACCTGTATCCCTGGGGCTGACTATGAAAGCTTATTAGTCATAACCAAACACCTTGAGGGAATGAGTCACTGGGCTTGGGGGCTTAGGGTCACAGTCTCAGGGTATAGCTAAGTCAAATGGCAGATCATAGTTCACAAAGACAATGCTCTGTACCCTACTGTGGTCAGTAGGAACTGGGGTCTTAAAAGCTAGTGAGCAGCGGTATAAGAAGCAACTATTGCTCTCTCTCCATCCAGAGGAAAGAAGAGTGAGGAAAATCAAAGACTCAAGGCAACAACCAGTCTAAAGGACCACATGAACCACAGCCTCCATTATCCTGAGACTAGAAGAACTAGATAGTGCCCAGGTACCACTACTGATCACTCTGATCAGTACCACAGGAGGTCCTGGACAGAATGGAAGAAAAATACAGAAGAAAATCATAAAAAAGACCAGACTTACTAGTCTGATAGAGCCTGGTTGAACCCCTCAGACTGTGGCCCCTACACATTCTTCAAACCTAGAAATGAACCAACCCTCAGGGATCACCTTGCAGCCAAACAACAGACAGGCCTATAAAGTGTATAGTAACACTCATGAGGAGCATCATCCTCAGAACAATCAACCAGACGAGACCAAACGGGCAGCATTTGCCCCAAAACAAAGCTTAGAAGGCAGGAAAGAGCATGAAAGAAGGATGAATGGAAACGGGTAACCCAGGGAAGAAGCAGGAAGAGTTCAACTAATGTTATGAAACAAAATGTGTACAAATTGTTGAATGGAAAACTAATTTACTCTGTAAACTTTCACTCAAAGCATGGTACAAACAAAAAAAAAAAAAACCCAACTTGGAGCTTTCAGGTAGACTGCTTGTGTTTGACTTCTGTTGACTTGGGCAAGCTACTTTGTCTCTCTAATTTCTATTTTACAAATAATTGTTGATAGCAGTACCAACCACCTGACAATGTTGTTACAAAGATTAAGTGAAGAAAACAAATCTGCTGGTTAGCAGCCAAATGTCTTACCCACTACACCACCAAGGTTCCTAAGAAAGCAGATCTGAAGTACTTAGGCAGCTACCCAGCACACAGCGCACTCTCCATAAATGTCAGCTCTTGCTGCTGCTGCTTCTTCCACCATTATCATCAGGCACTAATCAACCATTTCAGCCTACTCTCCACAACTAGCCTGTGCTTCACTACAAATGGGCTAATCTGTACTCCTGGCAAAAATACTTCCTGCTTTCCTGGCTCTTATGCTTTTGGGTTCATGTTTTTAGGACACTCAGCTGTCTCCTCCTCCTTCCTCTCCAGTCTCCATGTTGAAATCCTAGTCAGCTTTTAAGGCCTATCTAAATCACCATTTCTGGCATGAAAACTGCCCTCATTACCCAACCCTGAGAAATTTCAATAGCACTTTGTACCACTTTACATAAACTTTATTTATGTATCTTATCTTCTGCTTTTTGAAAGTGGGAACAATGTCTTATTCAAAATCATATTCCCCACAACTTCTATAAAGTTGCTTGTATTACATGCATTCTCAAAATTGACTTGTAGGTTGAGTGGATAATATAAAATATGCTGTACTTACATATCTGCTGCAGTGTGATTATTCTGGAGGGGAAGGTTGGGAGTACAAGTAGATTCAAGATGATCAGCTGGTCCTTCTCGGTCCTTTGATTGTTTAATAAGGTCAAATAAAGGTGAATCCTACATGAAACAAGATGATATTATAACAACATTAATACATATGATCTTCCCATGTACATATCAAAAACACTGTTTGACATGGTGAGGATCATTAATTTTAGTTACATTGACAGGGAAAATGTATGAGTCAGAATACGATCTTTTTCCCCACTCTGAAAATACTGATTGCCAATTTTTATGCTACCCAAAAACAAGACTGGGAAAGTGTAATCTAAAATGCTTATATTAGAAAAGAAGTTAGAAGTAAGAAAAAATATAGAGAAAAGACCCAAAGAAGGTAGAGATTTAAAAAAAAAAAAACAAAAGGAAATAAAGATATGAACAGAATTTAATGAAACCGAAAACAAAGATAAAATACAGTTTGATTAACAAAAGTAAAAGTTAATTATTTAAAATAACTAATAAAATAACTAATAAAGTTAAACACATCTCCAGCCAGTCTATTAAGAACTAATATATATATGATACAACTAACATATATACAATCAAAAACATACTAGACCTGTTTATATCTTATATTGTTTATATCTTCTATTAAGAGAAGGCACAAATAAATGCTATTTTGAAAGAAAAGTGAAACATAATCACAAATATTAGTAATAGGGAAGTGTTATTATTAGTTTTATGTAAATAAATAGGAAAACACAGACCAAGTGGAAAATTCTTCCCAAAATATACATGACAAAAACTCAATCAACAAGAAATAAAATAACCTGAACAACCCTATTAAAGAATTTGAATCACTAACTAAAAATCTCTCCACAAAGATAATGCCAATCATGAAACAAAATGTGTATACATTGTAGAGGAAACTAATTTGCTCTATAAACTTTCACTCAAACTCAATAAAATGTTCAAAAAACAAACAAACAAAAGAGTGTGTCTGGAATACAGGATATCCCTTAGGACATCTATTACTACTACCATGCCCTGTGATAAAAAGTCAATGGAAAATTACAGCAACCCAATTCCAACATGACTACTAATGGCCCAAACCTTTGAGGAATGAAGGTTGGGGTCACCCCACCAGGCAAAAAAACACAACCAGATGAGATGCCTGCTGAAGGCAAAAAGAATACAAAATGGGTGGTAGAAGTAGTTCTAAATACCTGCTACAACCATGTATCAACTGCAGAAATGAGGATTGTAATTGTTTTGAGTATTTCTTTTTTGTTTTGTTATACGTGTATGTGTGTGTATGTATAACAAGTATCTTTGTGTTCTTCCCTCTCTCATTCTATTACTTATTATACAATATAAGATATAAACAGGGCTAGTATGTTTTTGATTGTACATATGTTAGTTGTATCATATTAGGAGCAAGTATGACTTTATAATTGTCTTCATTTAGAGATTATGTATGGTTTAAGAACATATGTACAGGTGCCAAATTGACGAGGGGTAGACTATGATGGTTAAGTTTATGTGTCAACTTGGCAAAGCCATGATTCTCAGTGGTTTCACAGATATTATATAATCATCCTCCAATTTGTAATCTGATGTGGGCAATCTGTTGAAAAGAGAGGTCCCTGGGGGCTGTGGCCTGTATCAAATATTATGGATGCTCAGGCAAACCTCACTCTCAATCTTGAAGCTGACTTGTCATCCTCTGACTTCTGGTTCTTGGGACATAAGCTAGCAGCCTACTGCCTGACTGGCGGATTTTGCATTCATCAGCCCCTGCAACCACGAGTCAGGAGATGCCTCCAGCCTTTTGCCTGCCCAAGGATTTGGGACTTTCCAGCTTCTACAACTACATGAGCCATCCTGGAAATAAATCTTTTTTTTTTTTTTTTAAAAAAAGAAAGCACCAAGCTCATCTGGTTTTACCAATTAATCCTATTAAACATTAAAGGAACACATAACTCCAGTTTTGCTCAAACTCCTCCTGGAATTATCAAGAACAGAGATACAAAAATCCTAAACAGAAATACCAGCAACCTAAATTAGCAGTATTTATAAAGAGAATGTATCATTATTGTCTTGGTTCTCTAGTCCTGCTATAACAGAAATACCACATGTGGATAGCTTTAAATAGGAATCTATTCTCTCACAGTCGAAGCGTCTAGAAGTCTGAATTCAGAGTGCTGGTGTTAGGGGCTAGGTGAAGGCCCCTTGACATTGGGCTTTATCTCTGCCTCTTGTTACAGGCTGACTGAAGCAAACTAGAGGTTTCTTCTGACTCACACAGCAGCTGGCTGCTAAGGCTGATGAACCCAAGATAGATATGCAAAATGGCACAACACCAAGAATGGCAGGCCAACAGCAAACCACTGGTTCAAGTCCAGAACCTGGAGATGAAGACTTGGCCAAATGCAGGATCCAAATGTACCAAAAGCTAGAGACCCTTCTGAAAGCTTCTTCATATATACTAGAAGCAGGCCACACCCCAAAGACAGCTCCCTTTCCACTGATTAATGTCTCATAGCAGATTCCACCATAAAGATGATTATAATTCATCATGGCAAATAATTACATCCAGGTGCCAAGCCCCTCAAAACCATGGCCCAGCCAAATTGACATACAACCTTAATTACCAAAATCATCAAGTTGAGATTATCCAGGAATACAAGATTAGTTCAATAACAGTGGTTAAAGATGGCAAATTACATACATGCATTAGTTCTTCTCTCTTAAAACCCCATTAACATGGTGGTAAATAGAGTTATTTTAAAAGGCACAAACTTAAAAGAAAGAGAATGGGAGGGAGGATATCAAGTAAAATTGTGAATGGTGGACAGGGTAGCTAAAGATGGACAGTTGAGCAAAAGCTGAATCAAAGCCAGTAGTGAGGAAAGCCAACCAGCAAACCAGATGAAATCTTACTCCTCCAAAAGGGTCAGGAAATGGTGATAATAGGTAACCCTGATAATGGGGTAAAAGTGGAGGCAGCAACAAAAAGATTGGTTAAAGGACCACTTAAGAATGAATACGAGTTCAAAAAAGAAAAAAGAATACGAGTTCCAAATATGGTCCTCCTCCCCCTTCTCTTTAAAAAATAATCCAAAAACCAAACTCAGTGCCATTGAGTCAATTACAACTTATAGAAACTCCCATTGAGTTCCCAAGGCTGTAAATCTTTATGGAAGCAGACTGCCTCAACTTTCTCCCGTGGAGCGGCCAGTGGGTTCAAAGCCCCAACCATATGGTTAGCAGCCAAATCTTAACCACTACACCACCAGAGCTCCTTATTCCTCCCTCTTTATTGAAGAAAACTGAAGGTTTATTCTTTGGAGAGATTAAAACAGTACTGTCTGGACTGGAGGACTCTAGACTCAATCAAGGAGAGAGGTATCATAGTGAAAAGAGCAACATTAAAAGAAAGTTTATACAATGAATAGTGAGTACTCCCGACTGTTTCCTGTCCTTATGTTCCAGAACATTTTTGCCATGATCATATCTTCCAAACATGAAACCACAAGAGTCATATGTGAGTAATCTGACAAGTCTAAGAGAAAAGACCTAAGATATTAAATAGGGCCTCCTAAGGAATCATCCTACCAAATCATTATAAAGTTTAGTTTCACAAACTCCACCCACGTACTCAGAGCCTCTAATTTTTAATGACTTACTCTAATATATGAATAACAATCAAATATTTTAGCAATGTTTCTAATATAAAAGATAGTAGCCAAAATAAAACAAAAAAGCAACTTAGAAGGCACAGAAACTGTTCAGGGAGAAGAAATCTAAAAAGAATAATATTAATATATCCTGAAAGGGATGAGTTTGTATTCATGAAACAAGAACAGAATGCTCTATCAAAGAAAAAAAAAAGGAATGCGGAGAAAAAATATACAAAAACACTAATAAAGATATTTGGAAATTTAATTGAAAGCAAAAATAAAAGGAACTCAATAAAAGAGTTAAAAGATAAAGTTAAGGAAATCTCCCTGAGAGCAAGAAAATGACAGAGATGGAAAACAGACAATAGTTAAGAAAATTAGAGGAGCAGTCCATGACATACAATTAACAGGAGTACATAAAGAACGATTACCCCTTTCTCAGGAAGCTACTGAAAGATGTGCTCTGCCAAAACAAAGGAGTAACTCAGCAAAAAAAAAAAAAAAAAAAAAGACACAGGATCCAGTAAACAGAAGATCTAACAGAAGAGAGGGAGAAAAAAATTCTCAAGGTAAGAGTAAAGGGAAGTCCCCCAAAAAGCTACGTAGCAGGTCTAAAAAACCAAAACCAAACTCACTGCTGTTGAGTTGGATCCGACTCACAGTGACCCCTCCTTGGGTTTCCAGGGTGGTATCACTACCGAAGTAGATTGCCCAACCTTCCTTCTGAGGAGGGGCTGGTGGGTTTGAACTGCCAGCCTTCTGGTTAGCAGTCAAATGCCTTAGGCACTATGTCACAAGAGCTCCTAGCAGGCCTAAATAAACATTAAATAGTACAGATGGGAAAGCACTAATAACAACTTAACCAAGTGATCAATTGAACCAAGTGACCAATTCAGTTCTTCCTTCATACTTGCCACATTTCAAGTGTTCAATAACCATGTGCATCAAGTGGCTATCATATTGACAGTGCAGATATAGAACATTTCTAACATAGCAGAAAGTCCTATTGGACAGTTTTGCTCTAGATTGTTCCTGTTATGTGCCATTGAGCCATCTCCAACTCATAGTAACCCCTCCTTGGGTTTCTGAGGTGGTATCTCTACAGAAGTAGATTGCCCAATCTTCCTTCTGAGGAGTGGCTGGTGGGTTTGAACCGCCAACATTCTGTTAGCAGTCAAGTGCCTTAGGCACCACACCACCAGAGCTCTAGATTGAGAAACACCAAAAAAAAAAAAAAAAAAAAAAAAAACCATGACCAAATGCAATGTATAAGCCTTAATTCTATTTATGGAATAATCAGGGGAATTTGAATTTAGACTGGTTATTAGATGACATTATGGAATTGTTAATTATATTAACTACAACAATGGCTAAGTGTTTGGGTGCTAACCAAAAGTTCAGCAATTAGAACCCATCAGTGGCTCCCCTGGAGAA